CCTTATACTGAGTCAGACCCTCGGTCCTCGAGATCAGTAGTGTCTATTCAGACTGGTAGCAACTCTCCAGGGCCTCAGGCAGAGGTCTTTCTCATCATATCCCTTTAACTGGAGGTGTTGGTAATTGGAACTCCAGGGCGGCAGTGGCTCAAGTTGTTAAGATGCTGAACTGCGGACCGGAAGGTCGGTAGTTCAGCAGTTCGAGACCTGAGTGCTGCAAGATGGAGTGAGCTCCCATCTCTGGTCCCAGCTCCTGCCAACCTAGCAGTTCGAAAGTAAGAAATTGCAAGTAGATAAATAGGTACCGCTTCAGTGGGAAGGTAACAGCGTTCTGTGCACCTCAGCGTCTAGTCATGCTGGCCACATGACTACGGAAACATCTTCGGACAACGCTGGCTCTTCGGCTTGGAAAAAGAGATAAGCACCGCATCCCTAGAGTTGGATTTGACTGGCTTTCGAGGAAGGGAAACCTTTACCTTTACCTACCTTCTGTATGCCAAGCAGATGCTCTTCTGCTGAGCCACAGCACTTCCCTGGGGAAGCAAGTTGGTTAAAAAAAAAGTGATGGCAGCTGATAGAACCACGTAACTTTCTTGTTAGAAAAGGCATCTAGAAACAGGTGTGCACCAATGCTGGATTTGGGATTAGAGCTGCTGTGGTCAGTTTTAGTTTAGCTTCATCAAATAGGCTCCAGAAGGAAGGATTTATTTACTGGATGTGGCTTACAACATTCTTCCCTTCTGCACTTTATTATCATATCACCCCTGTTTGGTAGTTGAGGCTGAGAGTGTGGGCTGCCCCAAGGTCACCCAAGCGTATTTCCATGAATGGGGATTCAAACCTGGGTGTCCCAGGTCACACTAACCATTGTGATTCCATGGCTCCTGGGCAGCTGTGGTTTTGTTGCTGTGAGCCTCTTTCCCCTCCCCTCCCCCCGACTGCTAGGCTTGTGACTCTGACATTTGGGGGCTCTTTCTGATCCTGGCCAAAGCCCAGGAGCGTTAGGGATAATACTTAGGATCCAGGATCTCATTCTATTGTTGTTGTTCTCTCTGCATTTCTGCAACAAGGAAGGGACTCCAGGGAAGCAAACAGGAGATCAGGGTGAGTGACCAGGCTTGTGAGAGTGAAGCGATTGGGGGGGGGGGGCTGGCTTTTCCAGGAGGGATGCGAATGTTTAGCCTCTCCAGACTCTGCTTGACTTGTGGGGGCTCCCCAGTCATCACTGAACCACCAGGTGCCCTTGCCTTGCAGAAAAGCACTCCTGGGGGGGTGGGGGGGTACAACTGTATTATCTGACAGTAAAAATGGATAGAACAGTTCATATAGCAAACAGAATTGCAAAATATTATTATACTCCACTTTTCCTGCAAATTAAAAAAAAGTAGAGATTCAGTGTGGTATGAAGGAGTTGCAGGTCAAAGCTGGAGGCCTTTCTGGATGCCTCATGGCTACAAAGCAGGCCTTGTGCTTCTCCACATTCGATACTGGATTGAACTGACAGTGCACGTGGTGGCAAAACTGCTGCATCGCCCATCTTTGCTATGGCTGTAAAGCTCTTTTACCTTGCAATGTGATTCATATCCTGTCGAATTGAAAGGCGCACCTACTCCTCTGTGATCCCCCCCCCTTTTCTAAAATCACCAGTAGAAGCCATGCATCAGATTCCCTCGCCAGACTGGTGGCTGCCAGGAGTAGAGTCTTTGAACTGCTAAATGACCCAAAAGAGCCATTTATTTTTCACAGCCAGGTAGGGTTGCTTGGTCCCCCCCAGCTGCCAGTGGGGGATGGGGCATAGTGCTGCCAGTTCCAGGTTGGGGAACTCCTGGATATTTGGGGGTTGAGACTGGGGAGGGCAGGGACCTCAGGGGGTTGCAATGTCATGGAGTCCACCTTCCAAATCCATTTTCTCCAGGGGAACTGATCTCTGTAGTCTGGAGATAAGATGAAATTCCAGGGGATCCCCCAGGTCCCACCTGGAGGCTGGCATCCTATAGTCAGAGCTTCTAGATTTTCTTGTTTGTTTCTCTTCTGATTCGGGGACCTGAACTGATAACTTTTGCATCATCTTCTGCTGCATGCTGCATATGTTTTATATCTGCTATACTCTAGCTGCTTTATATTTTTAATGTTTTATATGTGCACCAACATGAGTGGGGCATACAGGGTTTATGCTGTTTTTGCATCTCTTTCTGTGTGTGTCTGGTCCATTGGGTTCAGAAGCTATAAAAGCTACAGTAGACTGACCCTATTCCAGCCGTCTCTGAAGATCTTGTTAAAATTCTCCCTTTCCAAAGAAACCCACTATTATTTGTATATTAAAGCTGGGTAAACATGAAGCAGAGTAAATTAAACTTGCCCTATGGAAAGTCAGAGATAGTTAAAAATGGCAGAAAGTATTTAAAAAGTAGCACAATGGGATTCTACATAGGTAAAAAGCCTTTGAATGCTACATTACCCAACATTGTATGAAACCTTGAAATAGAGTGTGCCACGTGTTATCTTGGGAAATGTCTCGGTTGGCCCTGAGAAAGCAACCGACTGCATCCCACAACAAACAGCCCCCTCTGCTTTTACTCTTAGAAGCTCATGCTCCGAAATTGGTAAAAAGGCCTCTTTAGCCCGGGTGTGTGTGTGTGTACCTTGGGGAAAAAAGAATCTGTCATTAAAAAGCAGGCAAATTCACACCCGGTGGCTCAAGTGGTTAAGACACTCAACTGCAGACTGGAAGGTCGGTAGCTCGGCAGTTCGAGATCCGAGTGCCTCGTGACAGAGTGAGCTCCTGTCTCTGGCCCCAGCTCCTGCCAACCTAGCAGTTTGAAAGCGAGAAATTGCAAGTAGATAAATAGGTACCACTTCGGTGGGAAGGTAACAACGTTCCGTGTGCCTTGGCACCTAGTCATGCCGGCCACATGACCATGGAAACGTCTTTGGATGGCGCTAGCTCTTCAGCTTGGAAATGGAGATGAGCACCGCATCCCTAGAGTCGGATTCGGCTGGCTTTCGAGCAAGGGAAACCTTTACCTTACCCGTACTTAATTTAAGCACCCTTCAGTGTTGGACAGTTGCAGTGCCATCTTAAGCAGAGTGGTGCCCTTCTAAGGCCACTGACCTCTGTGGACTTAAAAGCATGTAACTCTGTTTTGGATGGCTCTGTTAGTGAAATAAGGGAAGCTACAGGAACCCCAAACACGTGCCTGCACGGGAGGGAAGTCCCGAGAAGCACTTAAAAGACACTTAAAAGCCGAGCCTCACTTTTCTAACAGACCGAAGGGATAGTGGCTTGAAGCTCCTAAAATTAAGTGACAGATAGGTAAAGGTAAAGGTTCCCTTTCTCAAAAGCCAGTCGAGTCCGACTCTAGGGTTTCAAAGCCGAAGAGCCAGCGCTGTCTGAAGACGTTTCCGTGGTCATGTGGCCGGCGTGACTAAACACCAAGGCGCACGGAATGCTGTTACCTTCCCACCGAAGTGGTACCTATTTATCTACTTGCAATTTCTTGCTTTCGAACTGTTAGGTTGGCAGGAGCTGGAACTAGAGACAGGAGCTCACTCTGTCATGCGGCAATGTGGCTCTCGAACTGCTGAACTACTGACCTTCCACAGCCTTCAGTTCAATGTCTTAACCACTTGAGCCACTGCAGCTCCTAAGTGGCAGATACTGACCAACAAAAGAAATCAGTCACACTTTAGTACAAGCCAAAGGGGAGTTGGGCAGGTTGACCTTGAAAATATAGGATCGGCCAGGTTAGTGGACCAAATTTTAGAAATCCTGCCGAGATCGGCTGTGTTTTGGGGGTGGGCTTTTTGTGTGGTTGTAAGGAATTTCTAAAAAGAACAAGTAAATAATAACTGTTTAGGAACTCAGCCCTGTCCTTCATTCCCCTCCTCCCCTTTCCAGGCAACACTAAAGGGGACCCCCAGAAAGGGACTTCCCCAACCAAGCCTCTGGCCACGCACCGTGCTTCTGTTGACAGCCATTCTGGACTGAGCCTGTTTCCTCAAAGGCTTGGTGGCGATGGAGGCAGGTAATTCTCTCCGTGGGCTTCTCAGTCGCGTGTTAACTCTTGTTCACCGCTTAGGGGCGCAAGCATGAGCTCCTGCCTGGAGAACTTGACAGTGGGAATACAGCACTGGGCATCATGTGGAAAATGCGATCCACAAGACTGAGCAAGAACAAAGAGCAGCTCCCCCTTAAGGGGTTATGCAGACCAGACAAACATCATGCACCAGGTTTGGGCCCTTGCAGCATCTTTAAATGGCAGCAGCGTCCTCATGGCTGCCACGAGGACTCCATCACGTCCTCCTTTGAGCTTGACTTCCCCCAGCCCGGGAGAAACACAGCTGCCGCTCAGCTGGCTTTAAGCCTGCCGATGAACTGGGTTGGGAGCTCAAGGGCCTGGTCTCCCCCTCAGCCCCAAGGACAGTTCCGCTGCCACCACCTGCAGCTGCCAGTCGGTGTGGGGGTCTTTGCTTTTGCCTCACCCCAATAACCTTAGATATGCACTTTCTTGTTGTTCGGCATCTGGACATTGTTTCCCTCATTGTTTCCCTGCCATTTCCGGTGTTGAAAACCTCAGGCGGGCCCATCTTTGCCAGCGATTTCGTTTCCCCCGCGAGTCTAGTGCCGGCTCTCTGTCTGAAGGCTGGGCTGCCACTTGGTGCCTCAGAACTCCATGCTGCTCCCCTGGGGACTCCAGTCAGTGGGCTTTAAAAAAAAAATTGAAACATGACCAAAGGAACCAGGAGGGCCATCAAATGCAGCTTCGTCACAGAAGAGGCAACAGGTCGCGTGTCTCAGGTTTTGAGATTCTGGACTTGTCTGTCTTTTGTGAGTAGACTGTCAGTCGGGGGACACTCCTTGGAGGCATTTATGGTGAAAGGATTGCTCACGTTCCTGTCATTTACCTGCTGAAATGAAAGAGAAAACAGTTCTAATATGGCTTCTCTGACCGGCAGCATGTTCAAGCGGATCATACAAGGGCTGGAAAAAGCAATCCCACAGCCTGTGAGCAAAGAAAAGCCAGTGGAACAGGTAATTATGGCTCTAACACGTAGCTGCCCTGGTGCTGTGGTGCCAGCAGCTTCATGCCGACCTCTGCTTGAAGCCCCATTTGACCACCCTTTCCCTCAGTCCCGCTGCTGGCTTCTGCAAGGGCAGGCCAGTCTGCCATGGCAAAAGCAGGAAGCCATTATTTTACAAGTATCAGCTGTAGGCTCTTGAGGCTGTGTTAGAGAAATCTTAGTGAACAATTGCAGGTAGCAAATAGATGTGTGTTTTCTTTCTCTCCCTGCTATCCCTGTCTTATGCTGTAATAGTCAGCCTCAGGTACCGGTCTGGCTTCACTTTGCTGGATAGGTTTCTCCGGTTTCAGAATGCCTCCTCTTGTTCTCAAATGTAGGGTAATCCTGGATTAAGAATCAAAAGGAAATCTTTCTGTTGATGGGAGTGGCTGAAGGAAGCAAGGGGAAGGGGGTGCCTTGTGATAACCTTAAGGACTCACAGATTTATCGTGACAGAAGTTTTATTTATTTATTAGGTTTTTAGCCTGTTCTCCTCTGCACAGCAACGCAGCTTCCTGTAGGAAGCTCACAGAGTGCTGTTTGACCCCCTGGAGAACTGATTGGCTTTGCAGATTAAAAGACATCCTGTTAAGCAGAACCTCTGCCTGAAATGTTGAGGAGTTACTATTACAGTTACGTGTAAACGCACTCCCTGACATTTTGTGGCTGTCTCTGCCTCCCGTGGCAGCCATTTTGTTGTGGTGCTCACCACCCTGCATCAGAATTCCAAAGGTGTCCACGGGCTCCAAAATGTCGGGGACCCCTACTCTAGACCTTGTATCAGGAAATAAAGGAGAAATGTATTAGAGCAGACAAAGGTTAGCAGGATGGCAGTGTATATGCCTTGGGAGTGTCAGGAGCATTCTTCAATGTAGTGGGGCTGTGGTTCAGCGGCAGAAGATACCTATGGGGTTTGACAGAGTCTTTGGGAGCCCTCAGAAGAAAAGAATGAGAAAGGCAAAGTGTTGGCTTTAATTTTGCTTTAATTTTTAATTTAATTTCCCCTCTTTCCCAATAGAAAGTGGAAGCTGGTGGCCTGGATCCAGGGCAAGAAAGTAAGTTGTGAGTTATTTCCCATGATGCCCTTTCATTAGCGCCTTATCGGTGTTTTTCAGGTATTTATTCAACCAAATCAGATTTTCTAATCTGATTTGGCTACCGATCTAACTGAGCCTGAATAAAAGCAGATATTATTCAAGCTCAGCTTCACTTGCTGAAGCAGCGCAAGTTCACCCACCTTCCTGGTTCCTCATGTGTGGCTTGGCTTTGCAAACGCAATTTAAAGGGAAAGTTCCTTTTAAGTGGCTTTTGCAAAGCCAAAACCGCCCATGTCACTTGCAGAGTGCGACTTGGGAGAGGGAGGGGGTGCTTTTTAAATGCCTCCCCTTCCTGAGTGGTGGGAAGCCATTTCAGACCTCCCTTTTCCTCCCTCCACCCCGGAGAGGGGGAAGCAAAACAGAGGGTTTAAAGGCTTCTTCCCTTTTAAACTGGTCAGCTGATGGGCGGCGCTGTTCAAATGGGAGGAAGCTACCACAGCCTGGGAACCCAGTTTAAATGGGAGGAAGCTACCACAGCCTGGGAATCCAGTACCCATTATACCCTATGGTGATCGATATTGGGATTCGGAAATATCAGTACATACCAATATTTTTCGGGTTTGGTATACCCGAACCTGAAAAAAATACTGATTTTTTGTGTGTGTGCGCACCCCTGTGTGTGAGAGAAAATGGTTAACAGTGTTAGCTCATATCAGAGAGGGTCAGATCCTTTAGAGAGAGGCTGGAAGGAGTCCTGTCTCTAAGTCCGCCTTGAGTGCGGGCAGGCTAAAATAGTCAATGTGTGGAGATAGGGTTTGCATTTCCAGAGTGTAAAGTGAGAGAGAACCTGACTCAGGATACTATGCAAGTCTCACAGTTTTGTGGGAAAGCAGTCTAGAAAAGCGTGAGACTGAGGTCATTTCAGGGTCCAGTTTCCAAAGAAAACTAGCTAAAAAATGTTAGTTTCTGAAGCGTTACATTCATGATGTTGAGGGAAGGCCAACGTTCACCTCAAGAATACAAGCTTGGCTCCTAACTGTTCAGTGCACCCAAGGGTTAAAATCTGAAATGTTATAACTTAATGTGCCCAGCAAAAGCTGTATATTTTATCTGTAAGTGGTTTTAAGCCTTGTTCCTTAACCTTCTTATTTCTGCTATCTCTGTTAGTGGATAAAGGTACCATTCTTTTTATCCCATTTCCTGTAAGAATTGTGCTTAGAAGGCCACTTGGGTTCAGTCTGTCAGCAGAAGGCTGGGGCAGAGACCACTCCGGTAGAACTGTGCAGCACACTACCTATCTTCATAAACAGCCTTTTAAATAACCTGTCTTCTTAAACTGCACACAACCACACCTCTCCAGGGGATCCCGTTCCATAAAATGTGATGTGGTCCTTGTTGACTATGAACCAAATAGGGCTAAGCTAAATTATATATATAAAAAAGTACAAATATTTATTAAGGTGTACACGTGTTAAAACTTTCCTGATTAAAAATTGCTTTGTCTAAGATCAGACTGTAAAAGCTTGTCCACTATACATACAAATGATGAGTAAAAACTTTGCAACTGAAGACCAAACGTGTTTCGGCCCCTAAGGGCCTTCCTCAGTGGTCACTATTATCTATATATTCTAGACACACATTCAAAGACCTGTTACAGAATTCTAGTACACACATAATTACACCAGATGTTGTTTCCTGATTGTTCAAAGAAAAGCAGGGGGGGGGGGGAGAGAAGCAACTTCATTATTTTGTCCAAATTTATAAAAGAAACTATTATTAAATAAAAAATGATTCTATTAAAGATAAAGTTACCTTGTCTACTTATAATTGGACTCCTGGTATTAGTGATGGGCCATAGGTATAGCCATATCACCACCACAACTTATTCTAAATTAAAAAGTAAAATGAAATTATAAAAAAAATTATTTAGTCAAATTGTATAATTAATTTCATCCCAATTGAAATGAAAGTTATTACATTGGCTAACAAACCTGGTAAAAGCGATTTTGTATTTCAATTTGGATGAAATTAATTACACAATTTGGTCTTCAGTTGCAAAGTTTTTACCCATCATTTGTATGTATAGTGGACAAGCTTTTATAGTCTGATCTTAGACAAAGCAATTTTTAATCAGGAAAGTTTTAACACGTGTACACCTTAATAAATATTTGTACTTTTTTATATATATGGTTTAGCTTAGCCCTATTTGGTTCATAGTCATATCCTGGGTTGAGTCCCCCCCCCCTTTCCCCCCAGTTTTTGTCGTCCTTGTTGACGCCATATGGGGTTACTTATATTGAGGGAACCCCCAGAAGGTAGCAAGCTGACCACTCTAGCTGGCACTTGGGTATGCAAGGATCACAAAGGAGGCATACAGTGGAAAGTAGTCCTGTGTGTCCGATGTTGTGGTGATCTGGAATGCTGCATGTCCGTTCCTTCTTCCCGCCCCAACAACGTCCTCTCATTAACTTCCCTTCTCTGTTTGGTTTCAGGGAGCAAAGGGGCTTAAGTACCTCTGAAGCAAATGAAGACCCCAGAGCATCTCCTTGTACAGACCAAGTGAAACCTACCTGGACTGAAGGACAGCTGTTGTACTAGAAAGAAATGAGTTGGCACATTTTTTCCCCCTTTTGCTCCTAACTTAAATAAATGCTGGCTTAATGTGCAGGGCACACCTGAGGTGGAGGCAGTTTTATTGGTTAGTTGTATAACAAATGAATAATTTCTGTGGCAAACAGGAGGGAGATGAGTGTGGCTTTAGTCTGCCCATACCACACCCCTGGCTGTTTTGTGTTAAAAACACTTCCCTGTGATTCAGGTATTTAGGGCAGCTAACAAAATATTAATACAAAATAAAACCACATAACAAGAAGAGAAAGCAGGAGAGACCGGCCATTGCCTCTAAACTGTATTTTTGACAAATCCAGTGGTATTGCCAATTCCTGGGCATTTGGCCATGTTGACACCACAAACCAGAATGTTCATGCATCAGAGCTTCAAAAAACCCTGGGAACTGTCTTCTGAAAGGGAGAGTACTGTTTTGCAGGATTCACCCTCAGGAACCCACCCTTCTTTGGCTTCTTTGGGTGAAGCTATGAGTAATGTGGTGGGTCCAACCATCTTCCAACTTAAGTGTCTCTTTCACTGTTGGGACAGCCGCTTAAATAGGAGGAAGTTTGTTTAGAATGGAGGAAGGCTTCAGACTTGAGCTAAAAGGCTTCAGACTTGAGCTAAAAGTGGCAGGAAAATATTTTAATAAGGTTTTCTTTGTGGAATGGTAGGATAGGGGTAGAATCCACTCCAATATTAACCATAAATAGATAGTGTATTTTATTGATAGAGCTTCTTGCTAACTGGGTGCTGTAGAAAAAAGTATGTTAAATAGATCATCCCTATTATCCAATTTACTAATTTAATTTATTTCCTTTTATGTATTGTCTGCCTTTCTTGCTGAGACTCAAGGCAGATCACCAAATTTAAAAATCAATGCGGTAGGAACAGTATAAGATTCATAATAAACAGTGCAATAAGACTGGATTGCAAAATTACAGAACTGTGCAATGAAAACAGTTTAAGACCTGGCCTATCACAATCTAGGTGGGCATGCCCAGGAGGGAAGCAGCGTGTAAGGAAAGTAAGAGGGGTAGAAAGGTTTTTTTTTTTTAAAAAAAAATAATAATGTTTTTTAAATGGATGGGGGAGATGAAGGGCAATAAATTGAAATTCCTTCTACCGAAGACTGAAGTGCTGTTGTCTGATAATGTGGCTACTCAGGGACTGAAGAGTCAGTCTGTTTTGGATAAAGTTGTTCTCCCCCTCCAAAAAAACCAAATAGAATAGGCTCACAGTTTGGGGGTGGTACTCAACCTGTAGGGTCTCCTCTGATCTGTGCATAACCTTTCACTGGCTATAGCTGCTTTCTAGCTGCAGCCCTTCCAAAGTTTGCTCAAATGTGGACTAGATTACTGTAATGCACCCCATACAGGGACAGCCTTTGAAGATGGTTCTGAAGCTTTGAAATATAGGGATTATGAAACTGCTGTCTGACACTGAGTTATAGAGAACAGATCTCACCCTTTTTAAGAGTTATGCGGTTCAAGGTGTTAACTTTTACCTTTAAAGCCTGACACCGATTGGGACTTGGGTATTTTAAGACAAACTTGTGCCCATATCAGCCTGCTTGCTGTCTGAGAGCACTTTGGGAAGCTCTACATATGCCCCTCCCCCCCAACAGGGAGACTACAGGAGACAGCAGGCTGTTGTGTCATCTTGACAATGGAACACACCACAGCTAACTTGAACTCTGACCGAGATGAGCCTGGACAAACCATATCCTCCAGGGGCATATGGAGCCGAATGACCACCACGCGCTTCGTCATGTTCCTTAAAATAAGGAAGACATCTGTTCATATTGTTTGGGTTCAAAGAGGGTTTTGGTCGTGCAGTTCAGTAGAATGGGGTCTGTTCCATAGCTTAAAAGGGTTAAAAAACTGGATTGATGAACTTGTTTCCAGTGAATGTGTGAAGTGTTTTCTTAAAATAAAAAAGCACTCCTGCTTTGGAATGCTCTCCCCCAAATTCCACCCCCCCCCCAGACTTCCTCCTTTAATTCTTTTTGATTGCAAGAGAAGGCTTCTTTCTGTGCTAACCTTGCTAACTGTGTTAATATTTATTGGTTGGCTGCTGCTGTTTTGTGATCACTTTGTTTGCTGGTTTGGGGGGGGGTGTCTTGGGAGTGTGAACCTCCTGGGTGGTTATTCTGTGATTTCAGCATACAAAAATAGTATGCAAAATTAGAGTACTATCAGTACAACCATGTAGGAATAAATGTTTCTATAGCCACAGGACTTTTTTATTATTATAATGGCTGTCACTAACACAGCTACCTCTATGGAATCTGGTGAATAATAATGATCTTACACAATCTAATCATTCAATATTGTCACTAAGAAGATAGAGTTCAATAAATGCTGCCATCCCATAATGTTCAGTGGCATTCTTTCTCCATTCTTTGGTACCGGAGCTGGCTTATTTTCCTAATAACATTCTGGCTGCAATCAATGTGTATTCCTCACATGCTTCCCTGACTTTCCTGAAAACACTGTCTTTCAAGCACCCCCAAGCCATAATTACTAAGGGGTTATCTAGTTATTTCTTGTAAAGGTAATTGTTTTGGCTTTTGATGTTCCAAAGCTGTTAACTGTACTTTTTTAATCTTAGAAAAATGCTATTGCTATATATTATTTTGTAGAAATGTACTTACATCTTCTGCTTAACTAATACCTTGGGTCTTGCAGAACAGAGTTTTGCTGATTTTTGCTTGCGTTTGTAGCCCCGATCTTCAGACCTGGCTTTTTGTAGTAAAGATGAAGGGGGGGGGCTTTCTAGAGCCCTGGTGTACACACAGGAGTTATCATGTAGCTTGCCCTGTTCCACTTACAATGACTAGTTCTTATGTTTTTAGTCGGCCCCAGCTTTCTTCAGGCCAGTGTTAGTTTAGTTTGCCAGTGCCTCTTCTCTTTATTTTCCCCATTTGGGGAAGACCATTTCTTTCCAAGGAAGCCTCCTCACTTTCGATAGCCTCTCTCACTCAGACCTGGTTCTCCAGCCAAGCTATCAAAGGAACTGCTTGGGAGGGGAGGGCCCAGTGAGAAGGGTGTCAAGGCTCCACAGGGCTCGACTCCCTCCAAGATTGGCATTCTCTCCTGGGCCTGCACTGGTGCCATCTGGGACCAAACCAAGCTCCTGTGCCATTGGGCTCAGTGGCACAGGACCAGGGAGGGATGGGTGCAGGCCCATAGCTACCGCGGGGTCCACGGGGCCTGGCCCCCTAGCGGTTTTTATGGGCCCCGCTCCCCGAGCCTTGGCTCCCCCTCCCTCCCAGCCCCCTCCCCATTTTTGAAGAAGAGATTGGATTTATATCCCGCCTTTCACTTGGAGTCTCAGAGCGGCTTACAAACTCCTTTCCCTTCCCCTCCCCACAACAGACACCCTGTGAGGTAGGTGGGGCTGAGAGAACTCTGACACAAACTGCTCTTTTTCAAGGACAGCTGTGCCAGAGCTTGTGACTGACCCAAGGTCACATCAGCAGGTGCAAGTGGAGGAGTGGGGAATCAAACCTGGTTCTCCCAGATTAGAGTTCGCACACTTAACCACTACACCAAACTGGCCAAATTGCCTGCCAGCCTGTCCACAGGGAGGACAAGGGCAGTGATTTCAGAGGCAGTGGTAGAAGTAGCGGTGGCGGCACGGCAAGGCTGAGAGAGCCACCCAGGCAGCAAGCATGAATGGTAAAGCCCAGGCAAGGCAAGGAGGCGGGCAGGCACCTCCTCTGACCCAGCTGTGCTCCAGCAGGCTGAGCCCGCACACGGCACCTCCATGACCAGCCCGGCCGCTGCACACATCACTTCTCCCAGCCCCGGGAGGGAGCTGAGGGTGGAAGTCAGGCTGCCCCTGGCACCGCGCCGTGGGAAGGGACCGTGGGGCTTCTCAGGGAGGGAGGGAGCTGGATGCCCTTGTGGGGGGGGGAGCTGCAGCCACTGGGCATAACCCCCCTTGTCCTGGAGCCTTTGATTTAATTAGCTGGTGGGCCCCCTCCCCCCCATATCCCTAGCTACGGGGCTGGATGGGTGTACATTGTTTGGAGTGGAGCTGGACTAGAGGACCCTAGAGGGGGGGGGTCCCGTCTGACTCTGATTCTATGAAGCACCCCTGCTCTGACCGTGCACACCCAGCCTCCTTCTGAACTTGTCGGCATCTTCTCCGATGTGGAGGATGTGCCTAGCTAACACCTCAGTCCTCAGCTCTTTTAATGGGAAGGGCTGGATCCAGTTTGATGTAAGACCCTGAACTCTTGAATGTTGGAGTCTGATCACACCCCTTTGACATGGTTTCATTAGGGGGTTAAGAGGCCAGGAAAAAACACAGTTGCTAACAAGAGCAGTTTCTGTGACCAGAGCCAGGTGTGACAGGTAAGAACGAGAAGAATCTTCACCCACCCACTTCTGCCTCCAGTATTCTTTCCAACTTTCCTCTTTGCGGTTTCATTCCCCACTGCGTTTTTAAACAAATGGATGCAGATTACATGGTGTGATCTCCTGTTCCAAGGGGACCTGCAGACACCTGTGGGGACAAGACAGGCCGTTTATGATGCCCGGGCTCTTGGTGCTGCGGGCATCCTCCGTATATCTCCAGACGGTTCTCATTAATCCATATTTGTGCATCCCCACAGAAGCCAAAACTGGATCACATTTGATTGCTCTTAATGAACACACAGAACTCTGCCCAGCATCTCCATGTTGGTCGGGGTATGATATTGCAAAGTCGTTCATATGCCATGAAGCAGCATGTCTCTTCCTGATTTTGCTTCCAGGGGTAGCTCAGCAGCAGAGTAGTAAACGCAATAGTATTATTTTATTTCTTTATTTACTTCCCCTTCTATTTGCCAAGGAGTGATGGGGCCGGATGCCATAAATACATAAGTCTAATAAATTAAATAACATCTGGTCTTTGTTAGCTGCATGATGCCTCCCCTCCCTGGAGCCATCTGCAGCCATCTTTAG